TTGCAGCTGCTGTGGGTGATTTTCAGATGGTTTTCAACTGGTTTTGGTCATGACACACTGTTCACGCTACTGTTCACATGGACAGCTTGTTTGCGGCTACTGATGGGCTCTTTCAGCTAGTTTTTTCTGATCTCAGCTGGATTTTGTGCTGATTTCAGCTGGGGATCGTGGCTCATTTTGTTGCTACAGCTGGTTTTATCAGACTTTATCTTTGGTAAACATTGAAGGCTTTCCACGGTTCTGCTCAGAGGGTTTTCAGCTGGATTTCCAGCTGGTCTCAACGGGTTTCCAGCTGGTTTTCCATGATTTCTTTGTGGTTCTCTGCTGGTTCTTATGGGCTCCACTTGCTGCTGTGATGGTTCATGTGCACAGCTTTCTTGTCGCTGCTGCTGGCCACCTCTGGTCTCTTTTTCTTCAGCTGGTTTTGCTGATTTTCTCATGGTCTCTCAGCGGTTCTTTCATCTGCTTGACGCTGGCTATTGGTCTGCTGCTGTGGGTTTCTCTGTTGCTGCTTCCTTCGGCAGTCAGCTGGGGATTTGTTCTCAGCGGGCTCTCAGTTGCTGTGTTGGTTCTGGGCTTATGTTCATTCCTCATGGTTTTCATCATCTCGCAGTTGCTGTCTCTTGGGTTTCCAGCTTTCCTCCAGCTGAATTTTCTGGATCTTCAGCTGGACTCTCAGCTGGCTTTTGCTAGCCTTCATGTCCCATTTTATGTCCTTTTCTTTTTGATGGTTTATGCCACATTGGCTTCCTTGTTTTTGTTAAAGCCCGGCTTCCTTGCTTCTTGTAATTTCTGCTCATTTCAATATATCCTCCTTTTTTTTTAAAAAAAAAAAAATAGGGTTTAGGAAAAGCATGGTGAGAGTTGTGGTGAATGTTGGAATATTTGGGTCGCCGGAGTTGGACTCCAGAGAGAAAGGGAGGAGACAAATTGTTAGAGCAATTACTGAGATACCTCGGCGTAAGAGATTTTGGGGATGAGCTGGGCATGAGAGATTTTTGGGGATGAGTTTTGGAAGGCAGAGGATGAATTGAGAAGGATTCTGAGAGAGATTTTAGGGGAAGATATGGGGGAATCAGAGGAGACTGGGGCGTCAGTCAAGCAAAAAGCCCTTATAATTAAAACAGGAATTTTGTCGGGCGGGGAAACTAATTTCGGTAATCACAATATACCGTTAGATCAAAATTTTTGAAATGATCTGAACCGTCTTTTATGTTGAGATTACATTGTCCGTCGGATGTGCTTATGTTTTGTCTCAAAACGATCTGAACCACTCTTTGTCTCTTGGATTCAAACTCAACTCTACTTTATTATATAGATTATAGCATTGTATATTAAATTTTATCACAATTGACCTAGATAATCTTAATACAGTAAGGTTCCAATATGATTAATTTATTGATAATTATTTTTATTTTATTAAATGATTTATAAGTAAAATCTTAAACAAATTAATTTTTTAATTATTTATTATTTATTTATAAATGTCAATTTTTATGAAACTTTTTGACTTATTATATTACTCTTCAAAAAATATATGCATTATTATAAGTTTTAACAAAATATTAAAAAAAAACCTTCAAAAACTCCATTAATATAATATTACTCATCTCATTTATAAAGATAATATTATGACTACGTATGTATATTTTATTTTTCAAAAAAAAAAATAATGTATATATAGTTTTATATAATTTTTTAGTTATAGTAAACTTTTTAAACTTTGTTATATCAAATAATAACCGATCATTTTTCTTAAAGTTAGAATAACCAATCTTGAAAATATACAAAATTTTCAAAAATTCTATAATGGAGCATGAGCAATGAAAAAATAAATTTGGTAAAATTGAGATGATATTTAATTCAATCATATATACCAAATAATTATTTATTAATTTTTTTTAAAAAAAATTAGTCACGTGCAACGCACGTGGCGCATTGCTAATACAAATATATGTTTTATTCACACTTTGAACAAGGACTTCATTTTGACTAGAACAAAGGTTTGAACATAATCATAATATTCAATGATCGAGATTTAAAGCAATATTTAAGCATATATCAATATCTAGTGTGTGTCACACCCTGTTTCCCATAAAATGAGAAACATGAGTTTAAAACCATAATAATTATACTTAGGTTACTCCGGATTTTATTAAGAAAATATCTATATCTATACTACTATAAAATATCAACATATATGAAAAACATTTTTTAGACACTTTTGTCCTCCAAAATTTTGAAAATGCCAAGATCACCATTGAATTTAAATACCAAACATTTGTGACATTAATCATACACATCTCCATTTTTAAACTTTTGGTTTCCTAACCTCTTTTACTCTCAACCACATCTCTATATTTACTTCCATCCTTCACATACCAATTGTTCGCTTCTACCCATAACAAATAAATGACTTTCTTGTATGTGACTTTCTTGTAGCTCTGAGGAGGAGATTTCTCATCAGGCTGTCACTTTCTTTACTAAATTGTACAAGTCTAAAAACCATACCCTTGATGAAGAGTTATTTGGGGTCATTCCTGAGCTTGTTGGACCAACTGACAACGAGAATTTGACTATGGCTGCCACCTTAATTGAAGTTAAATAGGTTGTGCTTTCTATATCTGTGGAAAGCGCCCTTGGAACTGATGGTTTCTCTGGTAGATTCTTTCAAGTTGCATGGGATATTATTAAACATGACATGTTAGAAACGGTTAACTTTTTCTTAAGTGGGGGAGTGGTCCCAAGATCGGTCAACCCCACACTCCTCGTTTTGATTCCAAAAGTGTTGAAGCGCTGTTCTTTCTCAGAGTTCAGGCCCATAAGTCTATGCAATTTTTTATACAAAGTCTTCACTAAGATCCTATCCAATAGACTTGCTTCCCTTCTTCCATCTCTGATTTCAAATGCATAGCATGGTTTTGTCAAAGGGAGAGGGATTGGGGACTGTATTTCTTTAACTCAGTTAATGGTTGGAGAGCTTGATAGGAAAGTTGAGGCTGGCAACGTGATTCTTAAACTGGATATGATGAAGGCGTACGATCGCATAGAGTGGGATTTTTTGAAAAGAACCTTGACTTGTTTTGGCTTTTCAAGCTTGTTCATTTCTATCATTGGCAACTGCTTAAAGAATCAATTTTTCTCGGTCTGCTTGAATGGGAAAAGATTCGGTTTCTTTCCTTCGTCTAGAGGACTGAGACAAGGTGACCCAATTTCTCCGGCTCTCTTTATTCTGGCAGAGGAGGTTTTAAGTAGAGGACTGTTGAAGCTGTATGGTGAAGGCAGAATCAAGGCTTTTCATGCAGGGAGGAATGCAATTCTTGTCTCTCATCTGCTTGTCTTTCTTAGGGGTAATAAACTTTCCATGGAACGATTGATGAGGTTTTTGGCAAGATACAAGGATAGCTCTGGACAGAGGATAAGTAAACATAAAAGCTCTTTCATATGTTCCTCCAATATTCCTCGGGGCAGGACAATGACTCTATCCAGAATTGCTCAAATTCCAATAAAACAATGTCCCTTCGTCTACCTGGGATGCCCCATGATAAGAGGAAGATATAAACTGCGGGATTTTGAGGATGTGGTCCTAAAATTCAAAGCCAAAATGGAAGGGTGGTACGCACGCTTACTTTCAAACATGGGCAGAATTGTGTTGATTAAATCAGTCCTTAATTCTGTTCCTATTCATTTGCTCGCTTGTCTAAGCGTGCCCAAAGGCATCCTGGCAAAGTTGAATTCTCTCATGACCTCCTTTATGTGGCTAGGCAGGATGGGGGAGAGGAAAAGGCTTTGGGTTTCATGGTCTGTAATTACAAGACCCAAGCAAGAGGGGGGGCCTAGGGATTCGTAAATTTGAAGATATCCAAACGGCATACCGTTGGAAGCAGGCATGGGGTATTCTTAAGGGCGACTCTCTGTGGGCAAACATGTTTAGAGAAAAATTCTTAAAAGGCAATCACTTGATGCGATGCACGGGTACTGGAAAAATGCGTATATTTCGAATGCTGCAACCTTTCTTTAGCTTGATTATGACCAACTCACAGGTCATGGTGGGGAATGGGAAGAATGTTGACTTTTGGTGTTCGAACTGGACTGGATCTGGCCCTCTTCTGCTCAGGTATGTCGTTTCTCCCTCGTGCTTTCCATGCCTGGATGAGTTATGGGCTGATGGGTGCTGGCAGTGGCAAAGTTTGGGGGTGCAGGTATCTGAACAGTTAAAGCATGAAGTACAGAATTCTATGATTTGTTTAAGCGAAAAGAAAGATCGACTGATATGGAAATTAACTGATTCGGGAGAGTCCAATGTCAAGTCTGCTTGGGAGGCAGTGAGAGCTTCGAGTGTCCCTGTGCCTGTGACCTCTGTGATCTGGAACCAATCGATTTTCCCAAGTGCAAAACTGCTGGGCTGGAAGATATATCAGAAAGCAGTAGTAGAGGACTCAAACTTCCAGCGGGTCGGTGTTGATTTGGCCAGCAGATGTTCTCTATGTTACAAGGCTGTGGAATCTACTTCTCACCTGTTCATACAATGCAACTTTGATAAAGAGGTTTGGGGGAAACTGGCTGCATTTCGTGGTTTTCAGGTTTTCTCCGCTGAATCCTTTGGTTTGTATGATGAGACTGATCAAAATTTCTAAAAAACACTCTGTAAGTCAGAACTTGTTAAGAGGTGTTCCACTGGTGGTAATTTGGAGATTATGGAGGGAGCGATGCAGAAGGGTCTATGAAGATAGCTCACTCTCGGCCTATGCTGTGTTTGTAGATATCTGCTCCACTCTGCGTCTTCAGGCTTATGGCGTTAGACCCAAAGATAAGGAAGGCATGATTGGTATGGAATTCTTGAGGGCATTAAAGGTAGAGCTGAGGCATGAGCTGAAACAAAAAATTATTTGGATAAACTGGTCCCCTCCTCCTTCGGGCATTTTAAAGCTAAATGTGGATGGGGCATCGAAAGGAAATCCTGGAAGAGCTGGGGGCGGAGCTGTGGTAAGGAATGACTTGGGGCACATAGTTCTGGCTGCTTCTTTTTTTTATGAGGTGTGTTCCAACACGGAAGCTGAGTTGCATGCTCTCAAGGATGGTTTATTGCTATTTAGAAGTTATGGACTGCTAAATTATAATATTCAGATTGAAACTGATTCGGCCATGATGGTTCAAATGATAATGAAAGGGCACATGAGGGCCTGGAAGTTTTGGAGAATTTGTGATTTGCTGTTTTGGAGGGTACCTCTTCGGATTTCACACTTGATTTAAAGATTCCTCTCCGGGCTAAATTAATCCAGATGCAGGATCAACAAGGTGTTAAAACGCCAAGGAAAAAGTGCGCCATTTTTTGTGATTTTTTACCTATATTATGGATCCATTTCACATGATGGGGCTTTTGCTAAGGCTGCCATGGTTTATGGTCATTGGACTGTTTAGCTGGTTTTGCTCTAGTCAGCTGATTTTCTTTCCAACTGGTTCTCTCTGTGATGTGGTGCTTTCAGTTTGGAGGACTCTGCTGGTTTCCCTTGTTCCTGCTGGTTTTTCAGGCAACATCTGTTTCTTTAATGCTGTTGTGGGGGTTCTCATGTTGCTTTTCTGCTGCTTGTTGTCTGGATGCACTGTTCATGTGAACTGCTTCGCGATTGCTGCAGATTGTCTCTTCCAGCTGATCTCAGTTGGTTTATTGGCTGGAACACAGTTGGTTTTCA